TAGAAGCCAGGCCTGGAGGAGACTAGGAGTACCTAGTGAGCTGCCTCTGGTCCCCTTTTCCATTTTTAAACAGTAGGTTTTGAGCAGTGTGATAAGCAAGGAGGACTGGAATGGAGTGTGGGGCGGCACCCCAAATGCCAGGAATTGGCATCCTCCCAGCCTCATGGGAGAGCACCTCCTGGGGTGAAGGGGACTCACAAACAGCCTTCCATCAATATTTGTATTGGAAACACAAATTGGCTGCCCTTCTAAGGTTTCACTGACTTAGGCCAGAGAAGATTGAGGGAGATAGATAGACTTAGGAGTGACTGCCTCCAGCTGCCCATAGTATTGTGCTGTCTTGTCCCCACAGAGGAGCTGGGGTGGCTTGGGGCAGCCTGGCTTCCCTCAGGCCCTGGCTCCCTGCCAGCTCCCTCTGCCTTCCCTCAGAGCAGGCACATAGCGAAAATACGTACGTGCAGTTAGGTTCTTTTGCCTGTGCCTGGACCTTTTCTTCCAACTCATTTCCAAGTGCAGCGCTGAAAAACCACAGGTTTTCTCTTCTAGCTGGTCACAGCTATTGCTCCTTGACGTGTCTTTGAATCCAAGGAGCGAAAATAGTTCTGTGAGATCTATTAAGTCTCTGGCTTGTAAAATACAATAATTTCTTACTAGGTTACACTAATATTTCGTAATTCATTCTTAATATTATTCTTCAATAAAGCTCTGCACAAACAATCTATCCCACAGGAGAAACCTCTGCCAGAACCCAGATGTCAAATACATTTGCTTCAATTACAGGAGTTCGTGACCTTTTCTGTTTGTTAATGTGACGCCATGGAAATAATTTATAATAAATAAGCGTGTTTCGGAGTCAGGTGCCCCACAGGGCCTTTTTCAGAGATACGACAGCCCTTCCTGAAACTGGTCTTTCCTGTTTTGTTTTTGTCTCCTAACAATGAGGTTTGGGGAACAACTTGAAACCCTGCCGCTGAGCCAAGTCCAACTGCTGAGAGGTAGACAGGAAGTCAGAGATATCTCAGATTTCAAATCTTTCCTGAAATTGGCTGCTGATCAGGTTCTTCCTTTTTTTCTTTTATCCTTTATCCAGTATTTCAAATTTCAAACAGCAGGCTGTATAGATCTAAACAAATTCTAAATGTATCAGCTTAAATCACCAAATCAGCTAGGAAACTATTGGAATTTCTTGGATTCAAATAGCAGATTTGAAATGTTAAGGGTCATTTGCATATAACACACTAATTTAAAGCTGAGGTTGTACTGTCTGCCTACAACATTCAGATATGAGTGCTCTACGAGTTATCTGAAGGCTAATATGTTGATAATGTATTTCCACAATCTTTTTCAGCAGATGTGACAGTGTTCGCACAAACACGTGAGACTAGTGCCTGAACTAAGAGCAGCTGGCTCTTAATGAAGCCAGGGCAAGAAAAGAATGCAATTAAAAAAACAAGAGCCTTAGCTCCGCTCATTCTATTGTCGGCTGTACGTTATGGTTTATAATGTCTCCTAAGTTTGTTGGGTTAACCATCTCGGATTCCTAGACAGTAGCAGCAGCAAGGAATTTCTCCCAAGGAGGAAGACGAATCTTTCCCTTCTGCATTTATGTGGTCCTGCTTGTTGCTGTGTGCTATAGCTCATGGTAGGAAAACTCTAGCTCAGGGTCAGGACGGCACCCTTTCCCTCACTGGTTACTGGGATCCTCACCTTACCTTGTGCTGGTCTGGGGCTGGCAGCCATTAATAACATCAGAGATTGACAAGTAGCTGAGAAGAAATTGTTGCAGCCTATGCAGATGTCACAGCTAAACCCCTGTGTGTCTCACTGTCTGTGGAGAGACAGATCCAAAGTGTTCTGGCTGATGAAGGATGAGTCCACCATGGAGTTATTCTCACGACATATTAATGATGTGCACAAGGAAAAGCTGCCTTATAGTACACAACAGGCCAGCAAATCTCTTTTCAAATTTGCAGTACATCTGATCTAAATGAGAGAGAGTTTAATTTGGTCAACGAAGTATTTGCCTGTAATTTTTTCTCTAGACATCCTAGCTGCACTTTCAAAAGATGCTAGACGTGGTACAATAAATCTGTTCTTCTACAGCACTATCGGAGGAGACAACTGGCTGCAGTTTCAGGTGGTAGACAGAGTTCCAGCAGGTTATGTCAAGAAAGCATGACATTAAAGAGACATTAGGAAAAAGAAAAAAAGAAGAAGAAAGCATTATAGACACAGACTGAATTAAATGATAACAGCTTTCTATAACAAAGTGTGTAGACCCCACCCAGCATATGTTGTAGAGGAAGGAAGGTGTCTGTTAAACTCAGAGGTTGTAATAGGAATGAAAAAAGCCAGTCTCCAGCTGAGAGTATGACAGAGATGATGAGGACTACATTTTAATGTTTCTCCCAGCAAAACCTCAGGGGATAAAGATTACTGCTGCAAAAACTTCCATGATAGTAAAAGCCTCTGGCTACAGAAGTTGTTTATAACAAAGGTGTGTTAACAGCTTATAGACTTCAGCTGAAAAGAACTCTGACATTTCACTGAAATCTGAGTTGGAGAAACCTTTTTTTCTCACAAAAAGCCTCTGCATACAAAACTTTTATTTAGTGGTTGCACTGGGATTTTGGCTGTGAGACACCGTATGCTGTGTGCTGGCCTTGTCCTGATAACAGCCTGCTTTTATGTCCGGACAGCTGAGCTCATTGCTTGGCTATTGCAGAATATATCACGTCATGTCAATTTCTGAAATCAAAATATTTCAGACACAGTGGTGTTAAATGCTTACTACATCTAAAGGACTCTCCTCAGCTGCTTAATTGCATTTGATATGTTTCAAACAAGGCAAGAACTATCAACCAATGATGTTTTCCACACACATGTACTTTTTTGCTTGAAAGGTTCTGATGTGCTCTGTGCAAACATGATTCAGCCTCTGAACTGCTTGATACTGCAAATCAAAGTTGGCATGATTCATGAACTGTGAACAAGTGGTGGGGTTGGATTTCTGATGCAAAGGATCGCTGGGGAGAGCTCAGGCTTGAAACATCTGTGAGCATTCCTGCTCACAAACTCATTCACTGGTGTGTTTGCGCAAAGTGAAGAAAGAGCGTCAGAGTCTGCTTGAAAGCTTTTACAGACATGAAGAAGTATTCAAGAGCACTTGTGTCAGTATTTACACAAGGGCTTTTTACTGTTTCACGCCTACTTCCTAAATGGTTGAGGCCAAAGAGGATAAAGCTCTCTCCTGCTTGTAGCTCCTTTCTGTAGTCTTCTCCTCTGGCTACTCCGTTTTCACAGAGAAAAACACCGGGAAGTTGTAATTCAATAGCATAAACAGATTCGGTAACAATTGAGTAGTGTGCTGTGCAGAGGTTGAAAACAGATGAGACAGGCCTCGCTGGGGGATGTGTTAGGCAAAGTGTAGCCCAGACTAATAAATTTTCCTCTGCTGGCTCTGCACGGTGCTGCTCAAGTATCTCAGCACTTGTGGAGCTTGGTGCTGTGGTTTGGCCCTGACCAGCCTAGTTTATTTGCTCAGTCTTAGCACCAGGGTGCCCTGGTTGAGGCAGTGGGAGGCGCAGAGCAGCTGTGCAGCTCCAAGAGATAGGAGGGTTGAGTGGCTGTACACGGTCATGGGACAGAAATGAGGAGAGAGGGGCTGAGAGCTTAAGGCAAGGGAATCAGGTCTCTCAAGTGAGCTTTAGTTACAGAAAGATTAGCAGCTGCTTAAGCAGCACATGGGGCACTGAATGCTGGCAAGAGGCAGGCAGGAGGGAGGAATATATCTGCAGCTGGCAGATAGGCTTAGGCAGCAAAAAACAGAAGTAAATAGGTTTCACTGCTTATCTTCATGCTTGATTTCACTGGGACAAAAATCTTTAAGGGAGAGGAAGGTTCATCTACTTCTGCAGCTAAAAAATATATACCACAATTATGTTCTCTGCCTCCACACAAATGTTCTTTCCCTCCACTCAAAATCAGGTCAACCACGTCCCTTGCCATGTGCAGCTGAATTTTGTATTTATTGAAACAAACTGTCCAATTTTCAGGCTGCTTAAAGAAGAATGGAAGGTGTGTCCTTAGACATCCAGGAATGTGAGAAGAGGCCCCTCAAGTCACAGAGAATGTCCTTTCCTGTGCCTTGAGGAAGGAGGAATATAGTCTGGCAAACTGTATTTTTCCCCTATAACTTCCTCATTAGAAATATGGTTTTTATGTCCCTTCCTACACCAGCGACGTGAGCCTGCATTCCTGGCAGCTGCCGGCTCCAGCAGCTGGAGAGCCACGCAGGCAGGTCTGCAAATCACTGCAGAGCCTGAATAGCCCTTCAGCTCTAATATGGTAACCTGATAGAGGTAAGTGCATGCAGAGACCATATCAGTAGTTAAACAACATGCTTTTATGAACAGTGAAAGATAGCTTTCATTATAGTTCACATAACTCATTCATGTAAGTGAGATGCCTTGAGATGTGTGCTTAATGCATACCGAAAAGATAATTTTGGAGGCTTACCAGTTACTTGTATTGCTTGAAAGGAGTGACCACACATAATCTCATCAGCTCCCTTAGCAGGAATCAAAACCTCTTTGCTCTGTGATATCCCACACTGTGCAGGGATTCACAGAGGCTCTTTGTTAGCTCAGATACTTTGTGTGCACTTTTGGCAAAGGCTCTCTCCTCACAGTGACTCTGAAGTAGCTGTGTTATGGTGCAAGATGACAAAACTCATAGTTCGCATAGTTAGCATCCATGCTGCTATTAACTTAAAAGATAATAATAATCATAGGAAAACTGCGCTCAGTGGATGAGGGATCTCTGAAAGACTGTGGCTCAAGAGCAGCAGGATGGGCATGCAAAACCTCGCTCATGTACCTGAAGTTGGAAAGCACCCAGAAAGTACACAGAACTTCCTGGAGGAAACACTCCTCCTTTTTCCCACTAACACAGCCCCAGTTCCTGCTTACATCTGCCTGAATCGGAGCACAGAGGCCACACACAGCCACCTGGAGCCTCCTAGAGCCTTTGCTTCCTGCAGGTTTCTGAGCCGCACCACCATGTATGGTCGCTAAATGAGCCGACAAATAGCTCAGGCTGTGGCAGGGGCTTTCACATACCTGTGCAAGGTCTCACCTGACAGGGACTAGCATCTCAGCTAGAAATGCTACTTGCTAGAAAGGTGTGCAAATTAAAGCTTTGCATTCCTCTCTAAGAGACAGTCCCAGTCCTGCTTTAGCAAAGCATGGGACAGCTTTAGCACTGACTTTGCCAGCGCAACAGCCCAGCGAGCGACAGAGAAAAGCCCCTGGCAGCTGCTTGAGGATAACTCTATCCTCGCGCGTAGTCTCGCCGAGGCGGGGAAGCAGCCAGCAAGGAAATCCCCTCTCCGCGATAGGGATTGGTGACTAAGCACCGCGCCTCACACCTGGGCGGCAGTCAGGACGCAGCCGGCGTCCCCCTCACAGGTACCGAGCAGAGGGGCCGCCCCTGCGGGCCGGGCTGCGAGGAGGCGGCGCACGGTGGCGGCAGGTGAGCGCGGGTGGCAGAGCGGAGCTTGGCGGCGGGGCCGGGAGGTGAGCGCGGGCGGAGGAGCGGAGCGGAGCGGAGCGGAGCGGGAGGGACGGCTGCGGACGTGGGAAGCCCCGGAGGCCCGCGGCGTATCCCTGCCCGGTCGTGGATGGATCGATGCGCAGGTAGTGAGACTGATTTGCTTGTCTGAAACGTGAGGTCGGGCTTTAGGCTTCCGGGAGAACTGCGGGCATCCTCTGTAGTTCGTGGCACAGCTTAGGCTGTGCGTAAGAATGAACGGGGGCAAAGCTTGGTGTTGGTCAGGCTGTCCTGCTGAGGTGACCCCAACTCGCGTGGTCGCATATAACATAACTGTTTTGTGTGCGGTTGCTTGGGAAGTTACAGTGTGAATATATGGTGATGATTTTGCAATTTGTAAGTTATGATTTTCTCACCATGCATGTAACTCCTAGGACACAAAACCACTCTAGTGGTAGTTTTTGTAAACCCGGTGCATACCAATAGTTATGTTGAATGGGAGAGTGTGTTTTTAAAACCAATATGCTCTGTTCCTTAAAGAATATTGATCCATGTGTTGTTTCACGGTTCATGCTTGCAGAACATCAGTTGCCAAAGGCAGTGCTATTGGGCATTTTGTATGCAGGTGATGCTGCTCACCTACATTGCCTTGCCATCTCCCCATCCTGCCAGAGGGGCTTGGAAGGGAAGACCTCTAAGTGTCTGGAGTTGGCTGCTTTAAGACTTCATGAGCATTAACTTGGCAGCCTCCTTCCAAGATTAGGCTTGGAACTGTGTCTTCTGACAAGTGGTAGATCTTGAGAAATGGAGGTAGGTAGAAAAACAGTAATCTTATTTAACTATTACAGAATTTAAATTTTCATATAAATTAGGTCCAATATTAGATTATACTTAAAACAGTCTCAGACTGGTATTGCTATAAGTAAATATCTTTGTGCGATCAAAATATTCTTTGCAAATTAATATCTAAATGTTGTTATACCAGGCCAGAAATAACTACCTGGATCACCTTCTGCAGGTATGCTTCAAGTAATCAGTCACAGGTTAGCCAAAGCTTAAATGGAAATCCTATTGCAGCAAACTGGTCTTGTAACTTTCCTTCAGTGTGGAAGAGTGCCCAGTGTTACATGTGATGCATTTCTCTAGATAAGAATGGAAAGGTAGATATTGTGGTCATTCCTTCAGTTCACACTTCCAGACAGTACAGTTGTGACTGTGTAGAAAGGAGACAAGATCTCAACAGCAGTATGCTGGGACAAACCTGTGAAGCACCTGGGCATCTAATGATCCTGTGGACAGCTGCTCTATGGGGCTACAGAGGGACATATGCAGTTCATACTCTTGCCCCCTGATCTGTATAGGCTCAGGTTTTTCTCAGTAACATTTGCTGAATGCTTTGAGGTCTGCTTCTTGCTGTGGCTTGAGTTTTGTTAGCATTGATTAGTTAGGTGCCTAAGCTGTCCTGGCATCCACTAGTGAGTGAGGCATTCCTTGACACATTGTTCTCATAGAGAACAAGTATTTTCAGATTACATTTAGATAATCAGGACCCACTTAAAATACCTAAATCCTTGTAGGGGAGTATCCCACCATCTCTTTTTTTTTTTTTTTTTTTTTTTTTCCTCCTTTCTTCCTTCTTGCTTCTTATTCCTTAGGTTTTATCTATAACTGTTATTGGACATGAAGAGCCAAGTTCTGAATTTGCATCTTTCATTTCTCAAGAGTGCTTGACTGTAAACTTGTGTCTTGCTCTGGGTTGGTGATCTAGAACTCCTCACTTATGAAACAGTTCTGCCTTGTTTTCAGTGCAGAATTAGGTGAGCTGTGATCCTATAATTATGTGGTTAGGGCACGAATCCAAGAGTGGGGAAGTTTGATTTCTAGTCCCCTTTCTATTTGTATGTTGAATATTAAAATTTTTTGTGAAATACATACGGTTGAGCAATATTGAATTTCAAGAAAAATGCATTTTTTATTAAAGTGTCCCTTGATTCTTCAAAATATGTGTAGAAGATACACCTACTGAAAACCCTACGTCCAAAAGGGGATGTTGGAACCCACAGAAGTCCCATTAGTTCCCCTGTCCTTTCCTGCACTTAATTTAGGTGATGGATCCGCAGGTGATGAATCCTCTGTCTTCCTATGCAATGGAAAGAATGAGTGTTGATGGAATTGCTCAGTCAGTCATGTGTGCATAAGCTATTAATTAATTATGTTGATGAAAAGCTCTGACTCTGGTCTCCTCTTCTTTCTCCTACTCATGCGGTTCAGTAACCTCACTTGTTTGTTCCAGTACTTCTCTTTTCTACCAGCTGATTTTCATTTTCACTTAGCCTGAGTTCGTTTTACTCATAGGTGTTTAAGTTTCAGATTTACTTTACCACAGAGTAGTGGGTTGGCTTTGGAGAGTGCTGTCCTGCTCTGGCTGCCTGTTTTCCCAATGGTGCATTCTCACTCCACTCTTGTGCAACCAACTATTGGAAAACATTTTTTTTTCTATATTTTTAAGCATATTTTGTTTATTCTGGTGGTTTATGTTTCCATCTAATCAGTTAACTGGGCCAACTCTTCAAGCAGCTGTGTATTTACTGGATACAGCGTGAATGGTTTTGGCACAGAAGAGCTGAACTGCCCCTCTCAGTAGCAGCCAACAGCCCCTTTGCTCTCCCCATGTGTGGTAGTGCATTCTGTGTGGTGCTTATCCAAACCCACTGTTCCCTTGTTCAAGTTCTTTTTTATTTTTTTAATTTTGTAAAATAACTACTTTGTTTACTCTGAATTGGCTCTCCTGAGATACCTTAAATCTAGTAAATGTTCTCTTTCCAGTCTAGGACAACACCCAATATTTGTCAGCAGAGAGCTTAGGATCTCATCTTTGAAATGAAAGGCAAAGTGAGCCTTGACTTTAGGTAGGGAAAGCTGAGTTTAGGCTAAGCTGTGTTGTCATTCTGGTTAGGAATACAATTTGGCTTTCTGAAAAAGTCTCTGTGTGGAGAAAGAATTCTATTGATCCCTTTTGGCAGACGGGATAAATCTTCAGACTTAAACTAAAGAGCCTCATCTGGGAAGAGGTTCGAATCTTGGATTTGATTTCAACTCATCTGTATTGCATCATATCCCTTAATCACTTTAATACATCAAGCCATGCAGAATTAGCAAGGACACTTCTCTGAAGCTTAGTATGAGTGAATGTTTGCTTGCCTGTCACCACAGCTGAAGTTTACATTAATTCCACGCCAAAAAAAACTATGTCAGAAATCTGATGCTTATCTTTCCTCTTAATTGTACCCTGGTGATTCTGTTTCGAAGCTTTGTTTCTCAGTTACCTAATAGCCACTTAAACTAAAAGGGACATATTTTTTGGCCCTAAAATAACATCTCTGATGCGTGAGGAGTTCTTGTAGTCATGGCAGTGAGCTTTGGGTTTCGGCCTCAGAGCAAGATCTAGAGAGGTTCAAAGCCTAAGAAAGCAATTCAGAAAGAGCGTACCCAAGTGGCCTTGAAACCTGTTAGGTGCTTAAACTATTTTAGCACCTCAGCTTGGGAGCCTGAAACTTAGATGTGAGCTCGTATGGTGTGCTGGAACCTGGGGGAGCAAATGCCTCACTCCCTACCTGGTGGAGGGAGGTTTGACTCCAGTGGCCTCATAGGCATGTTGTGCTCTGGGTACATTGGTACACACAAATAGCTCCACAGTTTCATCTGAAGCACAGAGAGGAAGAAGGGTGCTTGCCTTTGTGACAGCATGGTCACCAGAGCACTGAGAACTTTATCCTACTTGCAGAAGTTCAGCCCCTCTCTTCCACTGAGCCTCTGTCCCTCCAGACCAAGGGGGTAAAGGTAGCTTTCTGCCCACTGTTTGTTGAAGCTGGGCCCAAATGCATGGCAGGATGGTTCATACTGCCAGAAGATGGCCAAACTCTTGGCCAGAGCTTGGCAGGGGAGGATGAAACGGGACTGAGATGGGCTTTTGCCAAATTCAGACAGCAAATCTGTTTTGTGTATACGTATTCTGCTGAGGGAAGTGCCAGCCTTCCCTACAAAGGAAGAAGGTTTTAAAGGTAGCTCTACCTATCAATGCTTCTGTGGTTTGTGACGAACTGGTGCAAAAACAAATAGTTCTTCCTGCTTCTGAGAGATTAGTAAATTTAGGAAGGGCACTGTATTTAGTAGCTAACTGCTAGGTGACAACAAAATATTTTCAAGATCACATTCAATTTCCAGTAGCAGAAAATTCAAATGTTTTTAGCTGTTTTCCAATTTATTGTAAAAAGTAGGATTGCAGGCTCTTTAATCTTCAGTTGAAGCTCACTGTCTGCTCAGCAGTGACTGGAATAGCTAAAAATCTTCCTTCTGTAAACCTTGACCAAACCCGGAACATCTCCCTGTGAATCATCCTGGCTTTTGTTCAGCTCAGTGGTGTGTTTACTTCCAGATCTAGTTTCACCAGTGTTTGAAATGATAGGTTTGAATCTCTTGTGAAAGGTGTTGATTTAAACTCAGGAGCATAAAAAAAATGTACATTCGTGGTGTGTTGTGCACTTTGTCTTGAGAGAGGGAAACGGAATGTTGCCAGCTCTTCCTCTCAGGAACTCTGTCCCAAGTGACAAGGGCCTCATCATTGTAGCAGCATTTGGCCAACAATCATTGGGATGTTAGATACTCCCATAAAATTGCAACAACTCTGATTTCTGCTGGCTTCTTCCAATGTCTGTGTAAAGTTATTCTAAAGCACCTCCTTTGTGCAGTGTCTGGTTGCCACTCATCTTCCTGGACAGCTGCCAACTACTCCAGCCTGTTTGCATCTCTTGAGAGGCACTGCTGGGGCTGTTAGAACTGGCTGTGGGCCGCTGGTGTGGGTGGATTTAAAGCAAAAAATAAATAAATAATATCCTTTATAAAGCCAGGATCCTCCTGGACTTTTAAGTGTGGTTAGGCAGCCTGAGCTCAGTGCATGTGCTCTGTAGAGCCATACCCCTAGTCTGGTTTGGATTTGAATTAAGATCCATTCCCATTTCCTCTTCTCTCATCATCCATTTAACTTATTTTCATATATGATATGTACTAGGGTCCTCTGTTTCCTTTCTTAATTCAGGCATAGCATTTTAATCTTGATTTATACCATTTACGTATTTCCTTCCTCTCACCACATTGTTGTAACTGTTTAAAGGCTGTAACAGTGAGGAGCAGAAGTACTGAACGGGGTTTCCACCATGTGGAAGCTCCATGATGTGAAGTTTTATTTTCATCATGAAACAGGATAATAATTATATGTAAAATAACTATCACATAATTAATGTAAAATAACAAATGAGAAATTGTTTCACCTAAAACAAAGTACTGGATGTGTGTGCGCAATTGTATATATGAAGAAATATTCCATCTTGATTCTTGTAGGTTAACAGAGTAGTTATATAAAAATAGTGTTAGTGGTAAAGAAACAGTATTTTTCCATACAAAATTGTTTGGGTTTTTTTCATTTTTTCATATATACACTAGGAGACATTTTTCATTAGTTGACTGGATACTATATGTCTATCCATGTTTTTTCCACATGATTCTGTGGTGGCAGATGGCTGAGACTTCTGGATGCCATTCAGTGTTACATTAACCTGGTATCTGAAGGCTATCATTTCAGAGCTGGGCACACTTAGCCATGCTAGGGAACCCCAGTGCACAAGCAGATGCTCTTGCCTAAATACCTTCTTGGCTGTCCTGTTGAGAAAAAAAAATGCATCCAGATGTTTCCAGTTCTCTTTGGTATCGGGGCTATAGACAGGGACTGCTGACAGCTCTATTTTTATTGCTTG